GTGTACTCAGACCAGTAATATTTGGGGTCACAAGTTTTTGCCATGGATATTTTGTGGGTCAGAAGATAAAATGTTTGGGAACTACTGGTCTACGTTATGATGAGAGGGAACATTATTGATCTGAAACCATCCGACCATGAACCCGACCCCCTCCCTAAATGCTCATCAATCAGTAAATCAATGCGAACGGCTCTGATTGGTCGGTTTGTTTGGTTTGTGCAGTAGTTTAGTGCAGCGGTTTGCATAGTCAAAGATTTAACCACGAAACACAAATGAGACGGAGGTGTTAAATTACACAGGTGAGATTATCTCAACAGTTTGTGACAAGAACAGAGGAGAGCCTGGACTGGAGTCTGAAGGTGAGGGAAGTCTACAAACCTTTTCCAGGTGGAGGTTCATCCATCGGGTGAAAGTCCTCTTCTGCACCCCCTCCCTCTCCACTGAAAGACAGAAACAGAAACCTGAGTTAAAGAACCTGTTAGAASCCACGAGTTAAAGCAGCAACAAACTGAATTAAATTATATTTTTTTTAATGGATCCAATGTTTTGTCCTTCAAACCTGATGACATCATCAACTTACAGACAAAAACATTCAGCATTTATACAAAGATAACAATAAAATTTTCCTTTTTTGAGAGAAAATCAAATGTTTGTCAAAAAACTCTCAGGTTTTTGAGGCTGCGGGACTGAGAGGATTAACGTGTTTCCACATCAACGAGTCGTCACATCACTGAACGTCCCGGTGTTCCTGCTGAGAGGGAAACTACAGCCAGAGCCGAGGGTTTGTTTCATCATTCGGCTGAAGGATCAGATCCACATCAGACCGGATCCAAACAAGACCCAGTTCTGTTCAAACAGATCCCCTCCAGGGTTAAAGTAAAACCACGAGTCAGCTTAATAACTGCTGAAATTTATTGAAGAATATCTGAAACTAACTTATTAAAGCTAAAACATGGAGAGCACTAGCTAAAATGTTAAAGTAGCACAAGGCTAGCGATTAGCAGTAAATGTGACAAGCAGCTAAAAGTAGCAGAATTAAAACCAAAAAGTAGCAAAATGAATAGCTAAAGGCTAAAATAAATAGCAAAAGATTAGCTAGAAGTAGTAAATGCTGACTAGCAGCTAAAAAAGCTAGCTAAAAGAAGCCAATGCTAACTTAAAGTGGTAAAACGCCAATTAAAACTTAAAAATAGCTAAACAATAGCTAAAAGCTAAAAAAAAATAGCAAAAGACTAGCTAGAAGTAGCTTACTCACAGCTAAAGAAGCAAAAGGCTAGCTAAAAGAAGCCAATGCTTACTAAAGTAGTAGAAAACTAGTTTAAACCTAAAGTATCATWATGTTAGCTGAATGCTCAAAGTAGCAAAAGGCTAAATAAAAGCTAAAGTCCTGGAATGGTTCCTACAAGCTAAAAGTATCAAAGTAAAAACAGAGCTAGTATTCTGAGCAGATTACAAAGTGAACAGAGGTTTTAAAAGTATAAAAGCATATTTTTATGAAGTAAATAATTACAAAAAATTTAAATATGTTGAAATGTATAAAAGCTACGAAACGTTAATATGAAGTATGCTGAAGTGTGACAACAACAAAACCATCAGCTGGTTCTTGGTGTTTGTGAGGAACCTGCAGCTGCACAGAGCAGGAAGTGATGGGTGGAGCTCTGAGGGGGGTTGCCATGGCAGCAGTGTCAGCTGTGACTCATTTTTACGTCCACACCCCCCTCAGGTAATGAGAGCCGGGCGGCTGGAAAGATATTACTGCTGTCCTGAGCTGCGGAGAATGTTTTCCACAGTTCTGAGACGATGCTGCAGCCGCCCTGAGGTCCTGCAGGCAGAGGATCTGTCAGAGGAGGTGCAGGAGGGGGAGGAGGTGATGAAGGAGGTGATAAAGGAGGGGAGACACTGAGCCCACGAGGGCAGATAACAAACAACACAGATGAAAAGCTCACTTCTGAGACCAGGTTTCTGTCCTGAGCTGTGAAGACATGAACAGAACCAGAGACCTGATCCGAGCAGAGAACCTGCAGATGTCAGGTTCCTGTGGAGCCAGGGAGAAGACAGACTGCCTCAGACGATCAACTATTTTAACAAAAATATAATGTTGAACTAAATGTCCAGAACTTTCATCAACCAACTCAGTAAAGTTTCTGTCAAAAAATCAGTTTCATCTTGGAAAATAAAACCATTTCTCAGCAGAGGCCATCACTTCTGGGGTACCTCAGGGATTTACTATAGGCCCCAATTTTTTTCAGTGTTTAGATAGCGTTACATACACCTTTCTTGTTGTTGTTTTTTAGTTGTTGTTTTTTTTTGTTGTTGTTGTTGATTTGTTTATTATAATTATTAGCACCTGCGAGAGATTCACTGGTGGGAAGGGAGGAGCTGACTCCAAACCTTATAATGAGGTTGGTGATGTACCTGCAGGGGCAACAGAGAAAACGGTGGGATTTTTATTTTTTGAAAAGGAAAGTAAAAAGAGAGAAGAAGAAAAAAATATTGAGCAGAGTGTCTGATGGGATATCAGGACAAAAAACCCCTAGACACTTTCCCACCGGACATTTACCCCACYAGGACACTTACCTTTCAGGTTGTAAAGTAAGTAATGCATTCATACCGGTCTCATATTTAAATGTTAATGTTGAAACTCTTGGTTGAGCTGTTTGTGGGGGTTAGTTTCCGGGGGTAAGTTTCCAGGGGTAGGGTACGTGTCCGGAGGATAAGTGTCCGGGGGTAGGGTACGTGTCCGGAGGGTAAGTGTCTGGGGGTAGGGTACGTGTCCGGAGGGTAAGTGTCTGGGGGTAGGGTACGTGTGTCAGGAAGTTAGGTATCCGGGGGTAGGGTACGTGTCTGGAGGGTAAGTGTCCGGGAGGTAAGTGTCCAGGGGTAGGGTACGTGTGTCAGGAAGTTAGGTGTCCGGGGGTAGGGTACGTATCTGGAAGGTAGGTGTCCGGGGGTAGGGTATGTGTCTGGAGGGTAAGTGTCCGGGAGGTAAGGGTCCGGGGGGTAGGGTATGTGTCTGGAGGGTAAGTGTCTGGGGGTAGGATACGTGTCTGGAGGGTAAGTGTCCGGGAGGTAAGTGTCCGGGGGTAGGGTATGTGTCTGGAGGGTAAGTGTCTGGGGGTAGGGTACGTATCCGGAAGTTAGGTGTCCGGGGATAGGGTACATGTCCGGAAGATAGGTGTCCGGGGGGTAGGGTACGTGTCCGGAGGGTAAGTGTCCGGGTAGGGTACGTGTCTGGAAGGTAGGTGTCCGGGGGTAGGGTACGTGTCCGGAAGGTAGGTGTCCGGGGGTAGGGTACATGTCTGGAGGGTAAGTGTACAGGGGTAGGGTACATATCTAGAGGGTAAGTGTCCGGGGGTAGGGTACGTGTCTGGAAGGTAGGTGTCCGGGGGTAGGGTACGTGTCTGGAGGGTAAGTGCACAGGGGTAGGATACGTGTCCGGAGGATAAGTGTCTGGGGGTAGGGTACGTGTCCGGACGGTAAGTGTCCGGGGGTAGGGTACGTGTGTCAGGAAGTTAGGTGTCCGGGGTAGGATACGTGTCTGGAGAGTAAGTGTCCGGGAGGTAAGTGTCCGGGGGTAGGGTACGTATCTGGAAGGTAGGTGTCCGGGGGTAGGGTATGTGTCTGGAGGGTAAGTGTCTGGGAGGTAAGTGTCCGGGGGGTAGGGTATGTGTCTGGAGGGTAAGTGTCTGGGGTAGGGTACGTGTCTGGAGGGTAAGTGTCCGGGAGGTAAGTGTCCGAGGGTAGGGTATGTGTCTGGAGGGTAAGTGTCTGGGGGTAGGGTACGTATCCGGAAGTTAGGTGTCCGGGGATAGGGTACATGTCCAGAAGATAGGTGTCCGGGAGGTAGGGTAGGTGTACGGAGGGTAAGTGTCCAGGTAGGGTATGTGTCTGGAAGGTAGGTGTCCGGGGCTAGGGTACGTGTCTGGAGGGTAAGTGTACAGGGGTAGGGTACATATCTAGAGGGTAAGTGTCCAGGGGTAGGGTACGTGTCTGGAAGGTAGGTGTCCGGGGGTAGGGTACATGTCTGGAGGGTAAGTGTACGGGGAGTTGTTGTCCTAGAACCGTCTGACGGATTGAGGAGGAACTGGCCACTTAGAGCTGAACACCAAAACTGTGAACCACAGMGCTGCCGTTAAAGGTAGACCCTCACCACACTGTGTGACCCGTCAGGTGCCAGGTTTTGTTTTCATTTCTTTTTATTAAATTACTTTTTATTATCATTTCTTTGTAACCGAACTACTCTCTCACCGAAGTGGAGAAAGCGAGCCTGGAGAGTAATGGGTACCTAACAATAGATTATTGTTTGATTTGAATGCTCCTTTTGAGTCGAGGAGTTATGATGAGGAGTGATGGTGGGACGGAGTAAAGTACTGATGCACCTTTTTACCTCCATTATTGTACTTTGATGTCTAAAAAAAGCATCTAGACCTCCCACCCTTATCTGGACACGTCCTTGGGAGGATACCCCGAGGCAGACCCAGAACTCACAGGGGATCCTCCAGGAGGAGMTGGAGTGTTGCTGAAGGGTGGGGTCTGGGTTTCCCTCCTGGAAACCACAGATAAAAAAACAATGAGCCACGATTTTTTCTTTGCTGTTCGTTCTGAGTTAGTCTGTCCTCTCAGGTGTGTCCCAGCAGACAAAATGATAAAAGCTCAGAATCGGACCAAACGTGATTCCTGCTCAGAAACACCTGGACTTTCTGTTTCCCTCACCCAGATATTAAACCTGAGAGCATTTCTTTTTCATGCAAACATCCGACTCCACGTTCCTCCACAGCGGTGGCAGTTTTTACAGCACGGAGAGCAAACAGCACCTGCTGCTGATAAACTGGGAGGAGGTCGAACATCAACACATCTATAAAAATACTCTGTGGCACCAGGGTGCAGATCTGCTGACCTCGGGTTGGATTCACACGARGCGCACCAGGAAACCTGACAGAGAGCGGTGAAACATCAACCCTCGCTCTGTGTTTGTTCTGCGTTGTCAGCATCTGATTGGATGAAAGAGTTTATTGATTAACCTTCAGCAGGAAGAGGTGGAGATTAAAACCATGGACGTGTTTTTGTCCTAAAGAGGAGAGTTAAACAGCTGATCGATCGCCCCAACGATCCGGWAATGAATCTGTAAAAGTGTGAAAACTTCGGCCGCTTCGGCTGATCTGAGGAGCCGAAGATTCTGAATAATGTAAGCAGAGGTGCTAACGCTGAGAGCCRAATGCCTGCTAAAGAAGCTGAATGTGTTGTAAACACTAAAAGATGCAGAACACTACTGAAAGTAACAAAAACTAAAAGTCACTGTATTCATTTCCTACAAGCTAAAATAACAGGAAGTACAGAAGCTGTAAAACCAAAGCAGGAAAAGCCAATGAAACAGCATGAATCCAGCTGCAGACAGCTGCAGACAGCTGCAGACAGCTGCAGACAGCTGCAGACAGCTGTG